TATATATATATATACATATATATATATTACTGCCTTTTGGAAGGTAGTGTATAATTTCATGCATCTAGGGCTCTTGAGCTCAATTTAATCTACAATTGTATTTATTTATTTGCTTACTTTAATACTCTTAAATGTTCTAAATTATTTTTCTCAACTTAAAAAATGCCTCTCAAGCACTAAAACCCAAGTCATTTATCCTCCCATTTTATCTCTGCCTTGCAGAAATGTGCTATTTTTGTGAAGAGCTCCCACTCATGTGGAGTTTCCTCTTTTAGTGTTTTATAGTGTGCCAGATTTGAATAGAACGCCTTATATGAGACTTTTACTTACAGCCTTTAAAACATTTTGTAATCACCTGCTCATCTTCATGTCGCATGTATGATGGGATACAAAAGGAGTTATTGAATAAAAGAAATAAGTTGCTTTTTTTCCAAAGACGTTTTCCATACAAAAGTGGATGATGACCACCAGTGTCTGTCAAGCTTCTAAATGACAAAAAAAAGTACCATGACTGTCAGTGAATAACATTGTACATTTTAATCGGCTCCTCGCACAAAGCTGTCATACGGCTCAAAACGATCTGGAGTAACATGGTACCTATTGGTACTTTTTGGAGAGTGTGATTAGATGCTGACATTTTTCATTTTTGAATAATCTGTCCCTATATATTAAAATAGTTATTTTAAATTTTAATAATCATTACTATACAGTAATGCTGTTTTTACTGTATTGTTTTATTAAATAAAAGTACCCTTGGTGAGCATAAGAGAATTCTTTCAAAAACATTTAAAAAAAATTTACTGACCCCAAACTTTAAACAGTAATGTCTCTGTGTGTAAACATCTAAGTATTCTGGTTAAAAATCAAGTGACATTCTTAGACCTGGTATGTGCCACATGTATGGCTGTAAAAAGAGTCCACTGAAGGTGAGTGTCATGAGAACCCAAATGCATTTTATTATATCTTAAAAGTGAGCAGATAAATAATAAACACAGACTTGACTTGACTTGACATAGACATGGACACAAGTCACCAACAGTAGTTACAGGCAACATAAGGGCTGTATATACCAAATGATAGGAGAACACATGACAAGAACAACCAATGACAGAAAGCAGACCTGAAGACCACATGACAAGACAATGAATCAATGAAAGCATGACACACAAACTAAAGGAACACAAGAGGAACAAAGGAAACACATGACATGAGACCATGACATGAAGCTAAATTACAAAATAAAAGACATGAAACTTACACTTGAAACAAAACACATTACAAGGGCACATGCTTCAGGCTTGCCGTGGAATTTGGCATTATATTTTGTATTAAAATTCACCTTGTCGCTCCATGGTTCAATATTATATTATATGTTCAAAATTGTTAGCTTACCTGACTGTCGTTCAGCCACTATCCACATATCCATCTTTTTTATTTGTTTAATCCTTCAGGCTTGTAGTCTCCTGGCACTAGTGGCCTATCGGGGAATAATCCTGTTTAGCGATTCTTTCAGGTGCGCTTATCAGATTTATGCTGCATCAGGAAGGGCGAGATCAATGGAGGGAGAGACCCCTTGTAAAGACGTGATGTGGCGCTACCTGACCTTCATTTTGCTTCGCGTTAGAAAAAAAGCCCCATCATTTCTGGTTGTGGATGATAAGCGCGTGGCATGTCATAAATCTTTCTTGACCTCTAGATTCTAAACAGGCATGGCTTGAGCAATAATGCTTGCATTCAATATGGTTCAACTGGAGTCTCATGTGTGCTTTTGTGGAAGACATCCCCTGTCTAAATGATCCTGTGTTTACATGAGCCCTCGGAATAGCTCAAAAATCAATACTGTGCCCTGTTCTGCATACTGATGTGCTTTGCTTTGATCTCGCATTCAGGGGCATACAGTGAATCGGTTTAATTGTACATCACAGAAAAGCTTTCTGCTGTGTTTCACTATGTTGCTTTCCTTTTAGTGCTTATGCACCAATGGATGAACTCACTGATCAGATTTTGTAGCAATAATACTCTCTGGAAGATTTCTTGTAAAATCGATGACTCTCAGCCTTAATTATTTTAATTTCAATATACAGTATGTGTGTTTTAGAATCAGAATGATTTTTTGTCTGAGGTTCACCCACACAAGGAATTTGAACTGGCAACAAAGCTTGCTGTACAGAAATAAAACAGCTGGATTACAAAAGAAAAATATATTTGCAGGGTAATACAAACAAGATTATATGAATACAAGTGGTATGTATACAGAGATCGGCTATATATAGAAATGTGAAGCAGAAAATGTATATGTACAGGGCAGATGGATCTGTACAGCTAGTATGAATATGAAGAAATAGAAATGTCAAACAACAGTTAAAAATACAGAATTTGCATATTGCACAGATGGGTTTGTACAGGTATCATGTATAAATATTAATTTACATATTGCACATTAATTTTATCACTCACTAGAGATGTGCCCGAGTATTCAGTTTTGTGCAGGTTTCCAAATTAACACTCAGTGAGCACCGATTGCAAGTAAAAATTCACTTTACAAGGAAAAGGAAAACAAACTTGTACAGTATGCCAGTTGGCCAGTAGCTTCTTTTCTTCAGGTCTCCATGTGGCAACACATATGTGAAATATTCCTCATATTAGGCCACCAAAACAAAAATATTTTTTTATAAAATTTTTGTGTTTCTCTTGTTGATCCATCAGTGTTTCCTGCACTAAATTGTCAGAGCTTGGCAAGAGAAATCATTTTGTAACGGGGCTGATGAGACGTGAGACGTGTGGATCCATCTGCAAGCTTTTATTAAAGAGACGTGGTAAACAGGCAGGGTCAAATAATGGCAAACAGGTATATGGCGGGCAAAACACAAGAATAGTCCTAGGGCTAGCGTAGGTCACCGATCGGCAGACAGAATCACACGGGCGAGACGAGAGGGAAAAATCCAGGAAAACAGGTAAAGAGCAGATACCGCAGAAACAGGCAAGGCAAAACAAGGAAAACACGGAGTCTCGGAAAGGGGTACAGGCTAAACAATACTCAGCAGAGAAAGGTGGTTAGAGTGGGTGTTATATAGTGAGTGAGGTGATTAGAAACAGCTGTGTGCAATGAGTGCAATCAGGGCAGTGTGCAAATTGTGCAAAGAATGATGGGATATGTAGTCCGGGGTGCTATGCAACAGTTTGTGTAGTGCGAGAGTCAATGTAATGGAAAGGGTGACCTCTGGTGGTGAATAAACGGAAGTCCATGGACCGAATTCGTGACACATTTATTACCTAAAATCATACTTATTATACTTGATAGTTAAAACACTAAAACAAAACTGTCTTCATTTTGTTACTGACTACTGAAAATAATACTTGCAATTAAGTGAGTCAGACATTGAATCTGAACAATTTGATTCAGCAAAAGGTCCGTCAGACTGATTCAAACCAATAACTCATCCTTTTGAAATGTTCATCCAACGAACCAGCTCATAAGATTCATTAGTTCAGGAAATTGGACTACATTGGTCAGACGCATTCTATGTTTATTTTTGTCTGCAGCCCATAGGGCTGTCAAAATGACTGAAAAACTAAATTCGAATTTTCTACTTAAATATTATCAAAATTCGAATTATATTCGAATTTAAAAGGCATAATTTCAGTTAGGGGGAAAAAAGCTTTTGGCTTCTCTCCTGAAGCCACAAGAGGGCGCATCGAGCAAAATATTATGCACGTTTCGTCAAAGCGTAATAAAATAACAGGACTATCTTTGAAAAAAAGTGCATAATGTTTATAAACCATATATAATTAATAAAGTTGCTTAAACAATTAGAAAAAAAACAGCACCATGCATGCATGTATAGTTTAATACAAAGGACCGAAAACCAATTACAAAGAGTAGGCTACTTTCTT